ATTTGTTATTCATATAAAAAACACAGGCCTCAGGTTGTAATTAGCAATCTGTTGCATTGTTTGAGAGTATGTGTGCATATGCCTTTTCAATCAAACTAACCTTCAAAATGTTCTTGTTGCTTTGTATTGTGCTAAAACATTCGTTTATGTACAGTATATACATAGGTAACACAATATGCTAGATAAAGAAATAAACAGTTGTAGAGAATTTTTTTTTTTTTTTGATTTTAACCGATTTTAAGGTCTGTACGTGGATGAAAGCATGCGAAAGCCTCTTATATTTGCGATTGCTTCTGCGATGCTTGTTAAGCCTCGACACGTGTGCTCGTTCATGCGTATCAAGTTCAAATGTCACAGTCGCAGTCGCAAAGAGTAGCAAATGATTTGAATTTGTTTTCAACCTTCTGCACGAACTTTTACGTTTTTTTTTTTTCTTACCTCAATAAATGTCGAACTTGAAATCAATCATATAAAAGGTTACCTTAAGCCTTAGATGTGTGAGTTGGTTCTACAAAATATTTTCCAATTTTCTGACATCTATGTGAAGTCTTAGATAAACCGACAGATGCTATTCGATTGGCCAGTTGCTGTATATAAATATAATGTATGTATATGTTTTGCTTTCGTACAGAAATCTGGTCAGCCCACAGGCTTTCCATTGCCTCTGACATTTACTATTTACATGTGTAATTGTTACTTGTGCACTTTTATGACATGTCACATTTGTGTTTCGTTTTTTTTTTTTGTTTCTGCCATATTCCAGGAATAATTCAAAAATGCCACCCTTTTCTAGTTGTCATCCACATTGAAACCACAGCACTGGTTGTTGGCGTTGTCAACAGCCATGTGAATGTAAAAAGCCGCTTAAATGCCAGCCTCAAAGGTTCGCTTCTGTTTAGCTCAGGTTGCATGTTGTGTGTGTGTGGGTGTGTGTGTGTGTGTGTGTGTGTGTGTGTGTGTGTGTGTGTGTGTGTGTGTTATGCAAACTAAATTCAAATTGTGTACAAAAAATGCTATTCAGAAATTTGTAACGCGTATTTGAGGCCATTTTGCTGGCAAATGCAAATGCAAATACAAATACATAGCTGCAATTTAAAATGTAAATGCTCGAGGCCAAGGAGATGGCCAATTTGCTGTTGGTCAGCAATCTACATACTTATGCGTGTGCGTGTGTGTGTGTGTGTGTGTGCGTGTGCGTGTGTGTATTGCATGCCGCTCCGTCATAATAATGTAAGGGAAAAGAACGTGTTTGTGGGTAGATGAATAATTGAACTGCGACTTCCGCTCTGCCAGCTGATTGCCCGATACAGTTCGCAGCACTCGCAAGGTCATGGGGCACACACACACACACACACACACACACACATGCGCCATTCGCTTGTGTGCTTCATGTTGGGTAACCGAAAGTTTTCTGGTTTCCTTTTCCATTTGATTTATCAAATGGCCGCTATAAACCAAAAATTTGCCCCTTGCTTTGGTATCCATTCAATGCGGTCCGCACAGATCGCTGCGGCTTTATCTTTGCATATTTCGAGGCGCCCAATTAGTTTCGATTCGTTGGCATTCGATTTGTTTACGCATTCGGTTCGATTTGTTGTTTGGCAAGCAAAAGAATGTTCGCTTGATTTGGTTTGTTGTCCATCGGTTCGTCCTTTTATCTGGCCATCGCATCCGCTTTGTCTTTGCCATTTTTAGCACTCAATTAATTCACATCTGGACAAAGACTCGAGCAATATTTTTCTGACCACGTCCCTGTCGCTGTCGTCCACATTAATACTGCCGTGATAAATGACCCAAGAATGGGCTTGATCGGGTTTTTTTTTTATACTTTCGGTACAAGAACCACCCACTTTGAAAGTAAAATCAATTAGCGTTAAAAATCTGCCTGCCTGCATAAATAAAAAATTAATTAAAATCAGCGAAAAGTGTTTAATGCCCGCACCCAGATGCCAGCACAAAGAAAGTAATTAAAGCCCAAAATCGGCCAACAACTGACCTTAATCCAAACCAACAAGCACTTGGTCTCCTTGTAAGGCGAAAATGTCTTTAGTTAGTGTGTGTGTGTGTGTGTGTATGTGTGTGTTAGCCAAAGCAAATAGCTGACGCCTGGCTTCGCCCAATGCTCAGCTGTAAATAAACACACTGGCAAATTCAAATAAGCAAAAATAAGTACGAATAAATAACTTATAAGGGAACAAGAAAAAGAATATCCGTAGCCTGTATAGTCAGGCAGGTAGCCAGGCCAGCGAATCATTCTCGATTGCACCTCGACAATGGCCAGACGGGCCGCAGTCGGAGCCCAAATGAAATGAATCACATCCCGTCACAATATGAATGGAGCGTCGTGTGAACGACCCGCTGACCCACCAGCCCATAAACTTGTAACGAAGCCTGCACAGTGGGGAAAACAGAAACGACAACAAATATTAAATATTATTTGTCAACTATTTGCTAGAAACTAAGGGCAACAACATTTGTATAAGGCTTTGATATACCTTCAATTATATTGTCACACTACGATAGCTTCCTATTCATCGAAAACTATTATATTAATATACTAACTCAGATTTTAAATATCGCCCCTCTACACAATTCTCATGCATAAACAGTAATATTAATTCTGTTGTTTCTCTCTATCTCTCTCACTCCCTCTTGCACACTCTCTACTTGTTTCGATTGTTCCCTCCCTCTTATATTTATAATTAATATACAGGTAATAGATAATTGCTACTCAAAACATTTCGGTATATTCCAAATTTTCACTTTTGCTTCAACTTGGTCCATTTCTCTCTCTCCCTCTTTTTTTCAATGTTTAATTCACTCGTTTTTCAGTTCGATTTTCATTAACAGATGAAATTGATGTTTCATAGACATAAATATTTATCAGCCTTAGGTATTTTATTGTTTATATATTAAGTATAGATGCGCTCTAGCTAATTCCCATATGCTTTGACCTCCATATAGCTTGTATTGCTGTCAGTTGAAACTGAAATATTCATTTCTGCGCCATTGTATATTGACCTTTTCCTAAGCATGACCTTCCCTTAAGAATGAATGAATCCCAAAAGCAAACAAGCGCTGCCAAATCCCAGATACTTTAACAACAAATAAAAGTCGAAAGGAAAAAAAAAGAAAAAGAAAAGCGTGAAAAGCGCGAGTCAGCCAACAATCTGGACTAGGCGCTGAGGGGGAGAGAGAGTGGAACTGGGACTGGGAAAGTGGGCTGAGAAGGGCTAGCGGCTGTGGTTTGAAATGTCCTTACCTTGAGAGCAGCGATGTTGTGTGTGCCTGTCTGTGTACGGCAACCAATCTCAATCGACTTCATTCCTCTTGGGCTACTCCGCGCGCCCGCTCCAGCGCCCCAACCGAATCCCACAGCCACTGGGCACTTGTGAGGCAGCTGCAGCTATTATGTTCTTCTTGCCGTATTCTGTATTGTTGTGAAGCATTGTCAATGTGGTTGACAAAAGGACTCTTGGCAAGCAGCAGCAGCAACAGCAGCAGAGCACCGCCGCGTGACATATTTCAAGATTTTCATTTCGTGTTTTTCTTTTCGTTCTTGTTATTGATTTAAAGTTCACTTCAGCTGGGCAAATGGGAAATAAAAGCATGCGCGCGCTTTTGTGTGTGCAAGTGTCGCTCTGTGTGTGCGTGTCGACACGAAATTCATTTACCCAAAGGTAGAGCACCCAAGACCCAAAACACAATCCCATCAGCTTTAGACTTTGTTAGCTAACTCCTAACGCCTACGCACACGCACACACGCACACGCACATACATTAGCATCTACTGTTTGTTATATTTAAGAGACTGGCAAGTCAAAGCCGCAAATGTTTGCTTAACCGGAAGCAAATCAAAAGATAACTCCCACACACACACACACACACCCACACACACACACACTCACATTTGTAAATAGCTACATATTTTTCTGGCAACAGCCTTTAGATATTTGTCTATGCGCAACTTGAAGGGCTACTTCCGTTTCCAGTTTTTCGTTTTTAAGGTCCTTAGTTCCGGTAGCGTTAAAATAAGCCAATATCCTTAAAATATATATTTAATCTAAAATTTAGAAAATGATGCCCTAAACATTTATCTTAGCCAGTTTAATATATGTTTTAAGCTTTATTTATGGGTAGCGCAAATATCAGAAAGTAGTTAATTATTTATTTATATAAACATATTAGCAATGGCTGCCAGGGTCTTCAATCGAGAGCAGCCGATTTTTCCGAGAACCTTAAACTAATTCAAAACGTTACAGTTTTTATATTGAGAACTATTTTCCGATCGCAGTAGATATTTAAATATTGGTTTAAAAGCCAAGAACTTCTGTGCAATTTGTTAGTCATGTTTGATTAGAAACCTGCAGTTTGGCAAATTGGAAAAGTTAAAGAAGAAGTGCAAGATAATTTAAAAGTTGATAAGGATAAAATATTGACAGGCAACAGTTGTCGGTAAGCGGAAGGAACTGAATTTTGCCGCTTAAGCTGGCGTCACAGAAAATGTCCCAGCCAGCAGACACATTGGCGCTATTTATGGCAAATTAAGCCAATTGAGTTGAGTGGGATTACGTTAGGCAAGAACACAGACAGACAATTTCATATCCCTGTGTGGGTAGCAATTTCATTGGCAGTTCTCAGTTCTCAGCCAAAGGCTCATCCGAAGCTTTATTTGTGTTTCCACAGTGTGTGTGTGTGTGTGTGTGTGTGTGTGTGTGTGTGGGTATTCGTTAGCCAAGTGCCTGGAGGTGCACAATTTATACAATACCATCAAAGGCAAAAGGTGTTTATGAGGCTGGTTTTACATTTGCATGTTCTACAAATTGTGGGCCCGACCCGCCCCGCCCCGCGCCGCAGGCTGATAAATCGTTGGCACGTTGTGCTTCATTAAGCTGGCACAACAAATGCCAAATTGATACAAATCGAATCGAGTATAGATTTCAATGCGACAATAAATGAAATATGAGCACTAATAAATCGTTCATATCTATTCAATTGCAGACTTGGCCAGCAACTGCTGTCAGCAGTAAAAGCAAAAGTCAATAGAAACAACAAACAGCAAACAACAAATGACAGTTACATTCAGCATGTCCTGCACGGCGAGCGCCCCTAACTATGTGTATGCCATAGGGCAACTAGTCAGCAGTGAGTGGCAAGCCAATAATTGCATTGGATTCAAGGACTAACTTTGCCATCAAAGCGCAACAGCAGCAACAAAATAACAATTTGCTCCATCCACTATGACCCTCATGCGCAGGATAACGGCAACGGCTGCGACTGCGGCGAGGACCCTGCTCGAGGATGGCGGCTCGGGGGCGACAACACAACCCGTTTACATGCCGCTGCTCCTGGAGGCGACGGCCACGGTATCAGCATCGGCACATGCGAGCTATTTGAATTTCGTTGCCGATGGACTCATCGATGTGGACGAAGGTGTTGGCAACGGCGGCAGCCGGTCCGTTCCCTTGGATGATGTTGACGCTGGCCATGTCCAGGACAATGGCAGCACTGCCGCAGCCGCTGCCGAAACAGGCGGCGCGCATTTGACATTTGTCATCGTCAAGTGTTTCATTATTGGTTTCATCATACTGGCCGCCATACTGGGCAACATGCTGGTGATTGTGTCCGTTATGCGCCACCGGAAATTGCGGTGAGTTCTGATCGCGTTACCAGCCGCAACGGCAACAAAAAAATGAGAGAGACGGGCTACTTTCGGCACGCCGAAGATTTAATACCCTTGCAGACCCAACCCTTTCTTAGTATTCCATACAACTTAATATTCGACGGATCGACTCGGCTCTTAATGCTGTTCACGAACATATATACTTTACCTTGAATATATATACTTTGTCTCACGACAAAATAACAATACCCGCTGCAAGAGTATAAAACTGTAATTGAAGCAACGACCAAACGTGTCCCATTTATTCGTTCTTCCATTGGCCCGACTAGCTTGCGGCGCTCTTTTGTATTTATACCCTGTGCGCATTAAAAATAGGTAAAAAGGATAAAAGGTTTAGTAGAAATAGGAAAAGAAGCCATTTCGACCCTATGAAGCATAGATATTGTTGATCAGGTGAGTCGATTTATCCATGTCGAGCTAGACAATTTTTGTATTGCTTGTGCCGTTTTCTATGAAATCGATAAAAATCGATTCGAAATACGCTGACTTTAACAGCTACCAGGCATCAAAGTTATTAGGTACCATAGATAGTATGCGTAGTAAAAGCTGAGTCGATTTATCCATGTTCATCCATATCTATCGATCCCAGAGGCAATAAAATCTAGAGAATTTTCGCGTATCGATTACTTGTTCCGCTTTTATCGATATAAATTAATATTCAAATCCGGTGACTATAATAGCTAGCAGATATCAAATTTATTGTGTAGACAGATTTCAAATATTGAACACTTCGAATTGTAACGACAGCTCAATACTCGGCTGCGGGTATCTCGTGGTCTGGCATACCCCACTCTAGCACTCTTTCTTGCTTATTATTGAATTGTTCGCCACAAAGCACCATTGTCATCATGCGCTGTCAAGGACACTGGCAGGACTTTGTGTCTATGTAGCTTTTTGCGCTGTGGCCGCAGGCGTGTTAATCCCGTTCGCCTTAGCGCCCATTAGCTGGCCATCATTTATCATATTTTTTGGCCAAGTTGCGTGTCAAGATATTTGTCAACTGGTCGGCTCTCAATCGCACCCGGCTACTGTTTGTCGTGTGGGGACGGTATCTGTTTAATAACTTGACCCCGTTGGCATACTTATGTGCGGCACTGTCAAATGTCAAAAACGTGCGTAATTACATCGAATATGTTAATAAGAAGCGCGCATTAAAATATTGTGGCCTTCTTGAAAAGGGCACACACACACGACCGGGCTGGCATTTCATTTACGACAATTCGTATAAATTTTGTGGCAACAACAACAACTGAGATGTGGGGGCTGTCAGCCTGCGGCAGTTCTTCATAATTTTGTACGTGTTTCAGGCACAAATTCATATGTTGTATTTTGCTGGCATTTAAGCAACATAAAGCACACATACACATAGCCGACCACACGGTCTCTCCCCCTGCCTCTCCCCCTGCCTCTCCCCCTCTCCATGCCCGGGGGCGTCCAATGTCAAGGCATAAAAACTCTTAAAGCCGCCCAAGAAAATGTTCACCTTGGCGACAGCCCAAAGGGCCACACAGACACACCTGACATTTGCGGGGCTCATTTAACTTATGGAGCCTGCGTAGCCGGGTAATTTTGTTGTCTTGGCAGAAGGGCATCTAATGGAATGGTGGAATGTTGCCTATTGCCAGGTGCATAAAATTTGTTATCTGGCTGCTGCTTCGTCTGGCCCATTTCTAATGTTTTGCTTAGCTGCGCAGTTTAAATCATTATGGCAAATTAAGCCTAATTATGCTTAACATGCATTCGTACTTAAGTCTCCTGGCCCGTGAGTGCCCTTTCTCTGTGTCTGTGTGTGTGTGTGTGTGTGCGTGTCAAATCACAGGTGTACGTCTAACTCCAGCTTCCCTGCGATAATTTGGGCATCATTTAACCCAACTACATCAAAAGGCTGTGTAAACGTGCAGAAGCCTTTTCCTAGTTCAAGGGGCTAGCCAATTGTACGTGTGCGGCTGGCTGACTTAATATCCGGTCCGCTAATTGAACCAACTTTTGTACAGACCATTAGGGGTAACAAACTAAAAGTCGGTTGTGTGTTGCAGCACGTCTAAATAGAGCTATATAAGTTATATGTACCGCAAAGATGAAATGTTGCTTATTATATTCTAGTTATAATGACAGAAGTTCTTGTGCAATTTTATGCCGAAAACAGCTTGAAATTGTCGGATATGATATAAGCTCTGAGAGTTACAAATAAATGTTAGGTTTATCAGTCTGCCCGTACCTTAACATATTTGAACATAACATAATGTTAAACTTTTTTCGTTAATCTTTGTGTCGCAATAAACTCAATTTTACGATAGGCTCAAGTTGCATCTGGCAACGCCCAACTATGTTAACAGCTAAACATATATCCAAAAGGTATCGAACTGTTTGTAAGCGTTGTCAATTTTCAAAGTGGCGTTGCCACATTTTAAAACTTAATTTAACATATATTGCATATCAAAACAGAATTCGACAGTTAGCAAGGTTTAAACTTTTTAATTTATTTTATAGTATTTGTTAAATAACTTGCCTTATGCGCCATTTGCCTGTCTTTAGTTGCCACTTGCCAGTTTTTAGACAACATAAAAACGAGTTTAGGGTTCTAACTAGTGTTTAATTAATTCCATAAATTTTCAAGAACATTCAAGTAAACATTTATAAAACAATGTTCAACATAGCTCACAAAAGGCTTCCAATAATTTCAAAACTGTGTATCTTACCCCGACAAAGACCCCAAATTTTAATGGTGAAGTTGACAAGTCATAAATCTAATTAAACTTGTCACCTATCAGAATCGAGCTGGCACCGTTCAGGCTGCCAGTCCACAGCTTCATCCTTTAATCGGCTTTAAAGCGACGCCTTTTTACTACTTATATTCTGACGTTGCCTTGTCGTACCTTGTACATTTTCTGCGGTGCTTAAAGCTGGCCATCAACTGGCCGCCTTTGGCCAACCCCTTGCTGTCTGCCCTTTTTTGACGCCTGGCATCTGGCATCTGGTGCCTGGTTCCTGCGGATTGTAATTAAGTTTGTGGGCGTTTGGGCGTAGAATTGTGCGTGGTTCATTGGCCTAGTGTAAATTATGAATTATGAAAATGTAATTGCCTTTTGCTTAAAGTTTCGGCAATTAAAGCTGCAATCACTTTCAGCGTTGCGCATACGCCGTGTGTCCATAATTGAGTTTAACATTCTGCGGTGCTTGTTATTATTGTTACTGCCAGTTGCTGGTGGTTGGTTGCCTCCGTGTGTTGAGCAAATTATCAATTAACTCATTAAACTCCGAAATCCATGCCACGACAAGCTGCTGTCACATGCGGCGTATGTGTAATACACAGACAAGTTATCAAGACGACAAGCTGACGAGGAAACTAGACGCGGGAGTATTATGACATAAATGTGTGTTGCTTAAAACTCAATTTGTACAACTTTTGAACTGCATTTCCGCCGAAAGTTTCTCAAACTTCCTTTTCCATATACATGCTTAATTTACAGCATCATCACAAACTATTTTGTGGTTTCACTGGCTGTGGCCGACATGCTGGTTGCCCTCTGTGCCATGACTTTTAATGCTTCCGTCGAGATATCTGGCAGATGGATGTTCGGCTCACTCATGTGCGACATTTGGAACAGTTTCGACGTCTACTTCTCGACAGCCAGCATTATGCATCTATGCTGCATTTCGGTGGACAGGTAAGTGCCCAACAACAAATGACAGGTACAGGTACCCCAAAAACAAACACACACACACACACACACGCACACACTGCTATTTCAGGTACTATGCGATTGTTCAGCCGCTGGACTATCCGCTTATAATGACGCATCGTCGGGTGTTCATCATGTTGCTGATGGTTTGGCTGTCGCCGGCGCTGCTCTCGTTCCTGCCCATCTGCTCGGGCTGGTATACCACTAACGAGAACTGGAAGTATCTCAAATCCAATCCCCATGTAAGCTGCCTTAATTTGTGCCTGCATTGTTTATTCAATTTCCCAGCGCATCAGAATTCAAAATTCGCAGCTTCCGTTCCGAGATTACGTGTTCGTGTGCGTGTGCCTGTGTGGGTGGGGGTGTGAGTGTGAGTGTGTGTGTGTGCAGGTGTGTGCCAGCTAGACATGCATTTTGCCGGCTGCTGCCCCACATATTGGCCACAAGGTGTGCCATAAATTCTGCCAACACCTGCAAGTGTAGTTGGCACTTGGACTTGCCTTCAGACTAGAGTTGGACGCGTGTCGGAATTTATTATCACGACACAAGCAACATAAACGCACGCTCTTTAAAATTTTGAAAAATAAATGACAAGCAAAAGATTAAACTAATATCCGGATTCAAGGATGTGGGAAACATGCTTCGCGAACCGTTACCTAAAGACAGAAAGTTTTTTATCGAATCCTGAACCATAAATCAATGTAGCTTGTAGATTATATTTAATCCCATTAGTTTATAGCTCCGAAGGGAACAATCGACTGAAAGCTGCAGATATCTTTGGCACTTGGATCCCATAAAATATATATATATATATGTATATATAGAATTAATATATCTTTCATCAAGAGGGTGATTTGGTCTAGCTGTCCACCCGCCTTTATGAATCTCAAAAACTTAAATATCGATTTAAGTTCAAGGTTTTTAGGCATAACTCGAAATGGACTAGAGTCAGATACAAAAAACTTGGCATGGAGCTTTTCATTGGCATATGCACAGATTAGGAATATTTCATTCCTTGGATGCCTCTTTCAGTTCCCTTAAAAACTTAACTAATTTTTAAAGAAGAGCCCTGCGCTTTCCAGAGTCTGTGTGTAAAGTGCATAGTTAGCTTGCCTGTATGTAATTACATACATACTCATTTGTGTGTGTGTGCTTGAAACTTTCTGCGTATCTCCCGAGTAAAGCTTGCTCGTAAAATGCACATATTCAATTCGAGCAGCTCATATTAAGTTCAGGTGTTCACGATAGCGAACACGACACGCGTTCAGCGCTGTTGGCTCAGTCTGAGAGCTGAGGTTGAAAGAAAATTGATTTATGTGTGCAGCGTTTTTATGCTATTTTAGGCGCTCAGCCGACGGCTGGCATATTTATTACTAAGTCTGCTTTATTGGCCAGTTTTCGACATGAGCACGTCCTGGACCATTCCAACATATTTGTTAAGTTGTCAGCGAAAGTGGTTCAATATCTGCTGCCTGCTGCTTTCAGCTGCCTAACAACTGTTGCCAGCTGCTGTCGTAGAGGCTTTGCCATACAAATGCTGATGTATAAATAAATGTAATTATATTTGCGTTTGTGGTGTCTCGTCTTCTGCTTGTGCTTGTGCCGCCTGTGCATAATTTTCGACTTCACACAAAGCGCCGACTCATTGAAAGCCCTTTGCATACATTAGCATTCAACTCGGGCTTTAATTAGTTTAACTTATTGCGGTTGTTCTTGTTGTTGTACTTAGTTAGCTTCAACTCTTGCATAAATCTAATTAGATGGCCTCAGCAGTTGAGGGCGTGGCCACAATATCACATCATTGATTTAATGTATGCGGTAATTGGTTTTTCTATTTATTGCTGCAATAATCGCATTACGCATACGCAACGTTGCGCCCGCGATTATAACAATGGCAATTGTCTGTCCGGGCCGTGCTGCAGTTGCAGTTGCATTTAATTGACTGCATATTGCATTTTATTGGCGCTTCTAATGCTGTTGGCAGGCCATAAAAGTCGCAGCTATTGTTGGCAGTCTTTTGTTTAATGCACTCAACTATGTTATTTATTTTGATTTATGCCATGAATTGACAGCCCTTGCATATCAAGTGCTGCACTCTCGGCGAACATGTTATCTATTTTAATTGAATTGCAGATATGCGAATTCAAAGTGAACAAAGCCTACGCCATTGTTAGCTCATCGATGAGCTTTTGGATACCGGGCATTGTCATGCTGTCCATGTACTATCGCATTTACCAGGAGGCGGACCGTCAGGAGCGTTTGGTCTACAGGTAAACCAATTAATTTGTTTGCCACAATTAACGCTAATTACAAAGTCCGACGTAGATCCAAAGTGGCCGCCCTGCTGCTGGAGAAGCATCTGCAGATTAGCCAGATACCCAAGCCCCGGCCCAGCATACAGGTGGAGCAGTCAACCATAACGACAATGCGGCGCGAGCGGAAGGCAGCCCGCACATTGGGCATCATAATGAGCGCATTTCTGCTCTGCTGGCTGCCCTTCTTCTTATGGTGCGTACAGGCAGCTTGAGGCTGTCCAACATTTGCCATATCTAATATAAGAAAATATACTACGAAATTAATTGAAAGCCGTGAATGCCATTTCTAAACAGCTATTTTTATACCCTGAACCCATTAAAAATGGGTATAAGGGTATATTGTATTTGTGCAAAATCCAAATTTAGGTAACAAGCATAAGGAAGCATCTCCGACCCCATTAACTGTATATATTCTTGATCAGCATCAATAGCCGAGTCGATCTATCCATGTCCGTCTGACTGTCCGTCCGTTTGTCCGTCCGTATCTATGAACGTAAGGATCTCAGAACCTATAAAAGAGCTAGAGACTTGAAATTTTAGATGTAGGTGCTCCTAGTGCCTGCGCAGATCGAGTTTCCGATAATCGATAACTTACTCCGTTTCCAATCAATCGATAGAAATCGGTAAATAATAAGAGCTAGAATTACGAAACATGATATGTTGCTTCTAAAATAGAATATTTATATGCATTTGATGTTGGAAGAAGAGAATTCAGGGTATCCCCTAGTCGGGAGCTCCCGACTAGAACCTCTTACTTGTTTTTATTTTGCTAGAGTTTAACGATAATTAAAAAAAAATTTAAATAACTGTCAAAGGTCACAAAACTAGAAAACTTAAATTTCAAATTGCGCCTAGAAGTATGCTGCGATTTTTTAGTTAAAAGTTGAAACAGGAAAAGTTGAAAAGATAAGCTCAAAGCTGGCAAACATTTGCCATATAATATATTTAAAAAATGTACCACGAAATTAATTGAACTACGTGGAAGCTATTTTTAAAATGCTTTTTATTACTTTGCTAGAATGTTATGAACATTTTAAAATGATTTTAATAACTGTCAAAGATTACAAAAGCCGAAGGCTTGAGTTTCTTGTTGCGCCTAAACGTAGGCAATACTTTTTAGTGAAGCTTGAGATAGGAAAAGTTGAAATGAAAAAGTTCTTTGCTCCGATTTAATGAGTTCAGAGTTGTGAATTAACTAGAAAACAACTGACCTTAGTTATACTAGCCCTGCTTAGTTAATTACTTATAAAACAAAGATATATCTATGAAAATTAAAAGTCTTTTGTGTGTAAATGCAAGAGAAGTTTCTACAATACCTGAATATATATTTTATATTTATATAATATAGTTACTTTCTTCTTTAACAGGTACATCATATTCACGCTCTGCGATAGCTGCAAGACACCTCGACTTGTTGTTGGCATTTTGTTCTGGATTGGTTACTTTAACTCGGCGCTGAATCCAATAATTTATGCATATTTCAATCGCGATTTTAGGGCCGCCTTCAAGAAGACGCTAAAGGTGAGTTCAATGTTCAATGTGGGGGGCTATTTGTCCTATTTACGTAGTGGGCGGGGCCTCATTATACAAATTGCCAAGTAAGACCTTCTATCAATACATATTGCTTTTGAAAACACTTCGATCCCCAAACGCCGTTTGCCTCCCAACTAGACTTAGTTAGAAGCAGCTGCTGCAGCAACGGAAAAACCAAGTACAACAGCAACAACGACAACAACAAGTACAGCAAAAACAACAACAACAACAATAAGAGGGGGAACTGCAACAGAGGCCCATCCTGGTAGCTATATGAGTTTACTTGGCGCTGCATTGGCAACTAGTGCCCCTATTTTAGCTTGAACTTAAAAACTTAGCATATATATTAGCTGACTGAGCAACAGTATTAATCAACTATCAACTGTCAACTGCAACTGCAACTGCTTCAACTGCAGCTTTTCACGACTTTCATTGCGACTGCAAAACTGTTAATTGCCTGTTGACTTCCATGCACGAACTGCTTGCCCTTTCTCTATAACTCTCAAGCAATCTCTTGCAATTTTTCTGTCTCTATTGTAAATTGGTTTGTTTTCCTTTATCTTTATCTCTGCTCTCTCATCTCTTCCACGCACAGCTGGCTTTTGCCCTACTAATATGTTCCGACAAACGCTAAGCCCTGCCAGAGAATGCCACAAAACAAAATGTAATATTCAAATTGAAAAGCTTGCGCTTATATAAGTATACTATCATAATATGTACATATCCATATATGAATGAGTGCACACACACACGCACATACACAAACACACACACACACATATGCTGCTCTCTTTTCGGTTAAGCAACAACAGCACCTGTTACAAAACGGTCGCCAAACAAACAACAACAAACACTTATAAATGCGCATATTTTGATGCCCACAGTTTGTTTGAATAACATTTCTTTTTCTGCCTTTTTTTCTACACATTTCTCATTTGGCACACTAGTCTTTAACAACCACGCACACATTTACACGAACACGCATTGTGAGTCCCTTTTTTTTTTTTAAATGAATGCGGCTTTATGTTTTTTATTTCGCTCGGAATTTCCCTTTTAATACCCTAAGCCTAGTGAAAATATCTGCAATGGGTATAAAAGTTTTATGAGAATGTCAGCCTCAGCAGCCGAGTCGATTTGGCCAAGTCCGTCTGTAATAATCAGAGAATACAAGAGACAAAGATTTTAAACTACAAATTTATTTTCTCCTGGTGCAGGCCTAGATCGATTTTAAATATCGAGAACTCTACCCACTTTTACAAAATCGATGAGTATCGCTCTCATGTAGTAAACACATAGTGAGAATATACCACCTTTAAGAGAAATAAATGCATATATACATATATGTATATGACATACATATGCAATACATACAAGCAGACACATAGTCAAAGGTCAATAATTTGCGCTTTTATCGCAAGCTCGCTCAACTCAACTCTTCCCCTTGTACTCTAATTCTTGCAAGAAGAGCTTCACAAGACCAATTACCTCTTGTCTCACTCTCACATGCATAAACTCCATGTCACTTCTCCTCTCGTCTGTAGGCACAAAGCGAACTCTGATTCAGTCGCGATCGAACGTTCGCATGAAGTAGACGTACCGAGACGATGTTGTGTCTTACTTCGTAAGCGACGTTTGTTTTTCTACAAGAGGTAGAGCCTTCGTCTTTGATTATTATATATATATTATATTATATGTATATATGTACATATAGATATTATACACACTTTTGTATGCGAAAATTAAGCCATGTCATTTAATCAAGATCCAACGAAGAAAAATAGCAGCAGCCTGAGCTGAGCAGCATGTAGCATATGTATATGTATATTTGCAGGTACTTCGCTGAGCTTAGGGTATATTCTAGTCGGACACTTTCGACTAGACCAATTTTACTTGTTTATTTTTATTTTCATTTTTTTTTTTGTCATTTGTTTTTTTTCGTTTATAAAAGAAACTTTGCAGAGACATGTGCTGTCTAGCTCACACCAACACACGCCCACCGCCCACCGCCCATACCCGAATTCTGAGTGTGTGTGTGTGTGTGTCTCTTTTTGTCTCTAATCTATTTATCTCGCTCGCTGTATCTGTCCCCGACGTCGTTTAAATATGCCTAACCTTTGCGTACGTAGTAAGCATTCTCTCTACGCCTATTTGCACTCATTTTGGCTGCGTCTGTTTGTACGTGTGTGTGTGTGTGTGCTCTTCTCTTGCAGAGCTGCTGTCCCTACGCGTTCATCAATTGTCGCGCCAGCTTGCGGGCAGCTGGGCGGGGCAATGGCGCCGGCGGCGGCCATCGAAGAGACAACGGCACCAGAGACGGATCCGCCGAGCTGCCGGCCTACATGAACTCGACGGCCTCATCGGAGATACACATGAATGTGATGCGTGCGCGACAGTATACAGCTGGCACGCCCACGCCGACGCCCACAATGACAGGACAGGAGCAGCAGCAGCAGCTGCATCCGCTGTACACTAACTAAGCCCTTTCAGCTCTTCTTCTATGGCTTATGTGCAGCTGTGTGTGTGTGTGTGTAAAGTTAGATGCAGCACAACCTATGCTAGGAATTCCAAATATATGTATTACCTATATATAGAGCTATATATATGCCCAAAACTATGACCACGCTAAGCAACAGCTAAAAATGGGTTTAAGCCGAACACGACAATCCCACAGAAAAATATTGAAGCCTTCAAAAAAACCAAAAACAAAAAAAAAACAGATAATCCGAAATTGATGTGCAAACAAATACACTCGAAATATGAAATATGAATACGTACAATAAAAAAAAAAAGGAAATTGAAATATTTACAAATTGAATTTAAAGCGAAATTGTTGGGCAAAACAAATGAAAGACAAGAATTCCAAATTCCTAGAATTGCCTGCAACGATTTCAAGCAACATTTGATTGGCATTTAGTGCAGTGTTTATATTAAGTATACTTAACTATTTAATATATATACATATATATATATACAGACACATAAATATATTGTATTGAATGTTTGATATACGTATTGCTATTTGATGTCCCATAAATATTGATACATGCGCGTGAAATGGATTATTTAAGTGAAAATTGTCTTCTAATATAGTACTTGATACTGACTAGATTTGGCCAACTGAAGCTTAAACATATTCAATTGATATATGTATAGCGTATATATGCACACCATGCCATACTATGCCATACTTGTATGACTAACATATCCGCTGGGTCTATTAGCCACACTCGACACACCTGTAGTTTCTAGCTAAAATGTAAAATGTGACTTAAAGTCTCATCAAAACAAAGCTGTTAAAATATGTATGTATATGTATTCGAGCAGGTCGCATTTTTGAGCGCATTATTTAATTGTTGTAGCATAGTTGGCGCTCAAATATGATATATGTTAAATAAATATTTAGTTACTAAGTGTATAAGTTCCACACGACGAACAAATAACTAGTTGAACTTTAGTTAAAACTTATTTAAAAAAAAAAAATGCAATTAGTTAAATTTTAGTTAAAAACTTATCACAAAAAAAATTTAAAAATAAAATTAGTTGCAATTTTAATTAAAAAATTATCAAAAACAAATAAATAAAATCAGTTGCAATTTAGTTGAATATAAGTTAAAAAATTATCAAAAAAAAAAAAAAAAAAAGCTTCAATTAGTTGCAATTTAAAAAAATAAATAAATAAAATCAGTTGCAATTTAGTTAAATTTAAGTTAAAAAATTATCAAAAAATAAAATAAATAAAATTTGTTGAATTTTAGTTAAAAACTTATAAAAAAAAAAACCAAATTAGTTGCAATTTTTCTACATATTTTTCTAAAACAAAATATATTTTGATAATTGCATTTTTTTATATGATTAATATTTTATTTAGTGATTTTGTATTTTAAAATTTAATCAATAATCGGCTTGTATTTATAGCATGAGATTCTATATTTATTTATGATATTTCATATGCCCAGACAATCTTATCCAAGCACATTTTGACTTTGCATCTAGATAACGAACAATCGAAAAAACCAAACAAATTATGAAGATTGCAAACTTGTTTTCTTCTTTTGTTTTCGGTTTTTCGTTCAACTTTCTATTTCAACAAAGCAATTATTTACAGAATGAACGCTTATCAAGCGTTCACAAATTCGCTTTGTTTGGCTTTAATATCTATTATATTTTTGCTAGTATATAATATATATATATATATATCTATATTCCAAATCATAGTCATTATCTAAAGCGCCAGCTTAATGGCTCAGCCCAATAGACAAATGAGCCTGTCTGCCCGCATATACACTTATGCCAATATTTATTTTATTTAACTCGGATACTTTGATTAAACAAAAAGGGGCGCCCATTGCTTGAGCTATTGCGTTGCAAAATTAAATTGAACTCTGGCTATGTTAATTAATTACATTTGCCATCAAACTTAACATATGCCAAATTTAGCAATTGCAATTGGCTAATTTTCATATTCCACGAAACAGTCAGAGTTAAAAGTCTCTGTTTAACTAGCAGCCGGATCTATTCCAATCAGACGTGTAATCGAATTAAATTGTTGCCATACATTTCAAGGAAGTGCAAAAGCTTGACGTTAAGCTCATTCTATTTGAATAGTTTTGTATCTAAAGATAGATGTGCTTCTTATACTCTATGCATACACAAATTAAATTTGATGATTTTAGCTCTTATGAGCCTAAAGAATAAATCAAATTTACAAATCAATACTTATCGATTTTGCGTAAACAGGGCGAGTGATCGATTATTCGAAATGAACAAAATCTGCGGTAGCAATTACATTTCTTAAAGTTTCTGAGATTGATAAGTTGATAGGATCGTTTATACACGAAGCCAATATCTATCTGTAAGATACATTTTCAGAAATGCTTGTTAACCATTTGGAATAGGAGCAGGGCATACAATCAGCTAGTTCGTTCTCTTTTGCCCTCATTGAGCCTTTTTAAATGCTGCTAAAGACTATATTTATATATTTGTGTTTTTTCTGTCCGTCGTATACCTGTGCTTTATTTTTGAATGCAATTTCTTATTCATTTCCACAACTACAGGGTACAATTAGATACATTGATGACTTAAGTGCTGATTTGTGTTGCTATCCCCCTCCCCCCACCCCCCACACCACTGTTCATTATAGACGTGCCATTCTATAAATGGTTATTAACAAATTAAATAACCAGCTGAACAGATATTACGCGCAGATACTTTAAGTACACACTTAGTTACTTGCGAATAACTAACATATAGAATATGCAATTCTCCATAAGTATGTCTAGTCGCAGTTGTGACTGTGCCGATTGCGTGGCATATTGAAAAGACAGTTAAGCATTTGCGACATACTTGGCTATTGATCAAATCAGTTGGCTATAAGCAGCAATAACAACATCAATAACAACAACAAAATTGTTCTTATTGTCAGTTGGCATGTTAGCTGACAGTAGAGCATGTGACTTGCAGTTATAAATAAAATAAATAAAAATATTTTGCGCAAATATAGGGGTAAATAATTAAGTTATGGCAGCTCGCTATAGCACACACACACACACACAACACACACACACACACACACACATATTGACAGTAATGGGCAAAAGTGTGCGAACAGCTCGTCAAATGATAAGCACAGGCAATTTTAAGCTCTAGCTGTTTTTAACTCTTGCCCGCGACTGTATAAACATTTTAATGACTGATTAATTTTGTTTGATTTTCTTCCATTTGTTTTATTTGTCTTTCTACGATTATGTTAGTCTCTAACTAATAAGTAAGTGTATGTAGTTTGTATATACAACTAATATATATGGGAGAGTATGCGGCATTCGTGTCTCAGTGTCAATCAATCAATCAATCAAGCAGCGCCAAATACTCTCGGTGAATGTCCAAAAGTTGAACTACATGTAATGAAATTACCGAAATACAAATGAAAAACAAAATTAATTGTTAAATGTGTTTTTTGTGCATAGTTGAAGAAAAACAAAACAAATATATATATAGTATATATTTATGTATATGTGTATGAGGAATTTAAGCAAAAGCTACTTGAAATAAATATTTCAAGGAATCGTTAAAACTCACCGCAGCCAGATTAAAGATATCTGGTCCATATGGTCTCTGATATCCGATTTAGTCTCGGTCAATTTTGGAATTGCGAAAGGAAATAGTTGCATCTTGTATCTTGTATCTAACTTAAATGTTAATATGTGTGCGTTCTGTCAGTGTATAACTAATATTAATACTCGAATTGTGCAAAACATATATGTATAAGTACATATAGGTATTATATTTGTATGTTGTATGAATTGTATGTATTGTATTTGTATATAAATATTCAGTATGTATATCAAATACATATGATACAAACTAAAGAAATGAAGCAATTACAATCGTATATTATAATAATATTAAAAATAAAAAGTTACAAACAACATGCGTGTTGTTGACTTTTCTCAAATACGACGGAAACTCTCTCTCTCTCTCTCTCTCTCCTCAGTCTGGATGACGGATGGCTGCATGGCCGTATGACCGGATGAACAGGGGTTGTGAAGGGGGGGAGGACGTCATTGAGAGTGATTGTTATTGGTATACGTATCTTTAAACTTTTTCTGTATTAACTGATACGCATTGTAAACGCTTGAGGTGATAACAGCAATTGAATCCAGACAAAGAGAAGCCATAAAAAAGAAATCAAGTTAGTTAAGTTTGGAAAACAATTTTTGTATTTTGTGGCGGGAGGTTAAAAGCTTACCGCTCTTTCGCCGCCTTGAAGGACTTCTTGCGCTGCTTGAGACACGCGGAATTCTGTTCGGCATCGGTTTGAGGCAGATCGTTGGGAGATATCATTGTAATATTGTCTGGATGGCAGAAGAATGCAATTGAGTGTCGGCCACGGGACCGTATGTGCTCCTGTTCGGGTATAACCACACGATGTTGCTATGGAACGGAAAGAGAAGGAGAAGGGATTAGGCTGGGAATCCTTTGCTTGGTATCTTGTTGCCTACCAGTGCGGGATACCGCTCCCTTGTCCAAATGGACAAGATCTCGCCACAGTTGACTAATATGGCACCCGGCAAATGGCCCACACGATGCCACTTTTCGCTGCCCGGCAGCTTCACCTCCAGGCCACCCTCCGAATCCTGCGCCAGCAGCGTAAATGTGCCGTAGTCGACATGTGCGCCACAGCGTATGACGGCCCCATTGGCCAGCTTGTGCTCGGAGAGCTCACCATCCTTGCCATTGCTCTGGACGCCGTCCAGCTCGTTGAGCTCATCGCGGGGATTGTTTTCGGGCCGAAAGTCCGGCTGATCCGATAAGCAGCGCTGGTAGCTATATTGGCAACGGCCCTTGACCACATCGTTCTGACCATGGCCGGGCTCATCGTCCACCACGGGCGGATAGTAGAGCATGCGCAGGGTGGTCATGTTGTCGTGATCGCCGGACAGCATGTGTGAGTGCTTTTCGAGAAAGAACGTGTGCGGAATGTCCAGCGAGACAGCCAGCGCCTGCAATATAAAGCTGGCCAGCGCCTTGAAGTCGTTGGCCAACGTGCTTATGTGATCCGCAAAGCCCGGCAGCGGCTCCTCCGGCAGATTTTGCGCGTTCAGTGTGCATATGTTGAACGCATGTCGCAGCTCCGGTGTCTTGCCATCGAAGCGCTCAATGCCCGGACTCACATAGCCATGATTGTCGCCATCGCTGCGTATATAATGCTGCTTGACATCCGTCGCCAGATCCACAAAGTCATCCAAATGGTCCCAGGCGGTTTTCAGCTAAATCGAAACAGTGTTAATTTAAGTAAGGTAATGAGAGTAAATGTGAGTCACCTTTTCGTCAGATATGCCATGATTGACCAGCAGCGCCATGCCCTTCTCGGATAACGCCTTCTGGAGCTGATGTCCGACACGATTCACCACCGACTTGACGGGCACCTCCTCAATGCCTGCAATTATATAATGATAGCGATCATCAGTTAAGTGCGTGGGCGTGGGAATAGCAAAGGAACTGCCACTTCAATCATTTCCTGGAATAACAAGCTATAAGAAATAATAATAATAATAATAATAATAGCTAAAGCCCCGGCCAGTTGCTGTCAATAACCATAAATAAAATGTTCGCACATCGTGTGCCCATTTTATGGGCCAACAACCGCCAATTAAAGTACAAAAACCCAAAACATATTAGAACTATATGGGCAGCAATAAACGCCTCAAAAGTTCAAAATAAAATGCCACACGCCAATTTGTCGGATATTCTACTAATTGGAATTTGCAATTTACACTAACAACGCGATAATGGCCAAATGATATAAACCCATTTTGAGCACTGAAATTGTCGGTTTAAAGCATCGCAGCTCGGTAAATGCAATGCGAACGAATGCAATAAAGGTAAATGCAATCAATTTCAATGCCATTGCGACGACACGACTTGGTTTTCCCGGGCGGAAAATTATATGAAAAATAAAAAAAAAAGTACCTTCACAAACCGCAACGGAAGTCAAGTCGAGTCAAGTCGAGGCAGGGGTTGGGACTGTCTATCAATAAAGTTGCAAAACGAAGCTCATATAACTGAAGAGCATGCAGCCAAACAATGCGAAACAGCTTAAAGTCCATAGATATAGCTCCCGCTTATCTCACACTGAGATATGACATTGTGCATGTGATGGGGCGTTCTTTTTGTACTTTAAAATTCCTATCAAAATATGAATAAATCTATTTCATTCAGCGCTCGCAATGAATGAATATGAATAGTTAAATAGTTGCAAATATTTCCATGCGTTCGCATTGCCACACACGGGGCGTATGCGCAATCTATAAATAAATAATTGCCAATTTCAGTTGGTCGCACGCCACACACCGCCCCGCTCCGCCCACCTTGCCCACCTGGGCCGCACTCTAATCAGTAGCATGACGCACAGTTTTTCAAACTGATAAACAAGAAAATTCACGGCTAATACTAATTACGTTGTATATGTGTAGTTATCAGTGCGTGTCGCGCTTCGCTTTTGGGCAACCAGAGAACAGATTTCTGTCACCAGGCGGCAAATACATTAAATTCGTTGTGTTTGCACAACACAAAATCTATGGAATTTTTTTTCGGGGGCAACCTTATGAACATGACGACGACGATGAGATACGTTTGCGAGAGGTCAGGCTGGCTTCTGAATGGCATCAATTGAAGCGCAACGCAGCCTTTCGATTTCATTTGATTGAATGCACATGGGCTTACTCATAGCTAGCTGGCATTAACCGGCTTTGCCCGGGCAAGCTGATGTCGATCGAATGAAAAGCAAAAACTCTAAGTGGATTTGCCGAAAAGGGTGAAAGTAAGTTTTAGCTGCATTTTAAAGTTAGGCTCATACAAACTTCGACTCGCACTTTCCAGCGGTTTTGCCCAAAAGTGTGAAACCATTTCGAAAAAACCTTATTTATATAAAAACAAGTAAGAGGTTCTAGTCGGGAGCTTCCGACTAGGGGATACCCTGAACTATCTTCTTCCAACATCAAATGCATATATATTCTATTTTAAAAGATATATGTCAAGTTTGGTGACTCTAGCTCTTATTATTTACCAAAACGGAGTAAGTTATCGATTATCGGAAACAAACTCGATCTGCGCAAGCACTAGGAGCACCTACATCTCCGCGCGGAGGTATGTCGTTTTGGAACATCATATCTCCGCGCGGAGCTCTTACCCGAGATATTAAAAAAAATCATCGAAAAAGTTTCGATGTATACAGTATATCTTATTGTATCATCGAATATTTGTGTATACTGAAAAAGTCTATTGCATTTAAATTTTGGCTTAAATTGGTCGGCAATAAAAGTTGGGCTATTAACTTGATTTATAGCCATAAGGTTAATTAACAATCATTTATTCCATGCTAATCAAACCTAAAGAATTTTCTTATTATTTGTAGCTAGTTTAAAATTAGTTTTATATCGATCAGAGGAATAGAAAAAAAGCTGTTTATTTTTCTGGAAAGTGAGTTTAAATTTACAAAAACGCAAACTTTAAAACCATTTTCTATACACCCTGAGTGGATTTACCAAAAAAAAAGGGTGAAATCATTTTCGAATAGAGCTTCGCAAAGTTCTTTTTCAAATTCCCTCAAAGCCTTCTTGCATCCGTTTACTATACTTTTTTCACAACTGCGACAACCCCTTCTTAGCGTTCACTCACAGTTATATATATATATATAGATATAGCTTTATATACAGATTCGTAGTGCTGTTTGGTTGTGCTTGAGTTAAATTGTGGGCGTGATGCGTTGTGAAGCATGTTTGCATGCACTTCAATTGGTCGGCAAATGTGTTTTGGGTCACTTTTCAATTTGCGGCAACTTGTAATTGGTACAGCTCGCATGCTAGTCGCTAACTTGTCGCTAATTTATCTATATTGAGGCTAATTAATTGAGTCAGCAGCGAGCATAATATACGGAGGCCGCATGTCGCATTCGTTGAAGATCATCGCCTCGAACGCTGCTTGCCACATCGTGGAGAGGGGGCGGGGGTGAGGTGAGGGGGCAACAAATTTGGTTTTTGGCTTTGAATTTCTATTTCTAAATATTTGATTGGCAACACAGTTCGATCTGTTTGCCAAATATTTATATATACATATACACACAATATATTCGATATTTATGGGCTTTGCATTTGCGTTGTGCTGTAAACAGACGTCGATGCGTTTGACGTGGATTTGTATACTCTTCTTTTTTGTGTATGTTATGCGTGGAATTTCTATTGACGCGACGCCTGCTGCTTATACCCTATACCTATATAATCTGGTGTGAAATAAAACTGTGCAATTGTATGCGACAGGAAATTTCAACAAAATATATAAGTATATAAATATTCATTATCAGCTTTGAGAGCCATATCTGTCCATTTGTATTTCGGTATATATTTTTGTTGAAGACCTGTGTATACCCTGCCTAATAACCATGCTCTATATGGTACCCTAATGAGCATTTTCTAGTCGATCACAATGTTAGAAACTGCTTTGCTTTGTTTGTATTGAAAATCGAATTGATTAAATATATATATATATATACAGACGCGAACAGCTTAATAGCATCAATTTAGTTGGGGAATGCCGTACACATAAATGTTCGACCATACTTATAGAATATTTTTATTTATAGGCAAATAAAACGCGCGTAGTTGAATGGGCGTCTGCCCCAACTGGCTGAGTGTGGGTAAAAAAACATTTATATTAATATAGTAAAAAGCTTCGCTGCGATTCAAAACCAATAAAATACTTTTTATTAAATCTATAATTCGAAAACACAAACACTTATAGAAAATAGTCTGTACTTCTTTGATGTTTTGCAATCGCAAGTCCAAGATCGTTGGAATAAATGCCCAAAAGTATTTGAAAAGGGGGAAAATATAATAAAACAATTCTTGCAAGAAAAATCTGCAAAATACATTAAAAACTTTGAGGCCTGGCCAAAAATCGAAATATTGAAATTTGGTCTTGAAGATGAAATAATAAATTTCTCATTAAAATTTGAATGCACAAAAGCGATTCAATAAAGAATATATATGCTTGATCAGTATCAGACGATACAGTCATGTTTGTTTGTTTGATCCGGGAAAATGATGCGGGATGCGGGAAAATATACTAAACATTCTTGGCCGAAAAATCTGCAAAATACATTAAGAACTTTGTGTACTTGAGGCATAGCCAGAAATCGAAATCTTGAATTTTGGACTTATAATAGTAATTTCATTAAAATTTATATATATTCTTGATCTGTATCAGACGATATTGTCTTGCGCGTCTGTTTGATCCTCAGGAAACTTCATATAGGCCCATCTTCCAGATGCAGGCAACACATTGGAGCTGGAGGGATCGGAGCTCTATATCTTATGGCTCTAATATTACATTGATATGATGTCTCCTCCTATAAGCAAAATCTGTACAACATCCAACTACTACATGGGTCAAGAATTGAGTTTTCGTGTGGGTATATCTTAACCGTATTCAAAAGAGTATTTACTGAATGCATAAGAAACGCAATCGGTATCAACCAGGAATTGTCACCAATTATCATTTATCGAAATGACCCTCCCTGCCAGCAGAATTTTAAATTCGGCCATTTGCATGCGTCAGATTCCTCAGAGAGAGAGAGAGAGAGAGAGAGAGAGAGTCCACAACAAAACATAACATGACAAATATTTCGTTTAACACCTGAGCCGTGACAGAGTTAAACTTTGGCTAGATATACGAGGCTGTGCAGGTTAAAGCCGGTTTTAATCGGATTCAGAAAGCGCGTCGTTATTGTTGTTGCTGTTGTTTGTTTAATTCTCAGCCGCATGTTTCAATTAAGTTGACAGTCGGCCAAGTGGGCGCGGGCCCAGTGACGCAGCTGGGGGAATTCACTGGCCAAATGCGTCACGAGCTGCGGGCCTGTTTCCCAGTTTGTTGTGCGGCTTACCCCGAACAAAGCGTAAATATAGATGCTCAAACAACAAATCAAACACTGCACCAAAGAGACGCCCGCACGCCCCCAAACAAGTGCAGCACAAATATGCAAATGTATACCAAAACAGAAATACAAAATAAAAATAAAATCAGAAGGCAAATCAAATCGAATAAATACGCGCTTGTAAATATTGTGCTGCAATATTTGTTTGAATTTCCGCACTCGGCGAATTGACTTGCAATGCCAGGCACAAAACTATGCTGTGGAGCACTTCATATGCCCCAAGTAGTTCAAAAACCTCTCCAGCTGGAAAGCAATTTAGGTTCCGTTGACACAACTGTGCGGCGCACAACTTTCAACCATCAATGCCGTTTGTTTACTTACTTTTTGGGGGTCAATGGCTGAAATGTTTGGAAGCAAAGTCGTCGCACGGAGGTCAAGTGCTCCAGTGAAGGTCAACTGGGCAACGCTTTGGGCATGGCTTGGCTACGACTCGAAGTTGCCTATTGCGCATATTCCCTGGCTGTCATAGTATGGAATACACATTCTGCTAAATACATCAACAATTTGGATACAAATCAGCAATAACAATTTGCAGCCTTATTATCAGGTTATCGATTTACGACTTTGCTTACTAAGTTACCAGGCACTTTAACATTAAGTCTATTATACACTTTTCTGCCTGGCAAATATAAGCCTCAGCTCTTTCATCGCAATGTCAAATATCTCTTTATGTTGCATTTAATTATTGTTATTTGAATTATTGAAATTTAATTTTATTATAATCAATTATGCGGTCTAAGTTACCATTCACTTTAACATTAAGTCTATTATACACTTTTCAGCCTGGCAAATATAAGCCTTAACTCATTTTACACATTTCATCGCAGTGTCAAATATAACTTAATGTTGCATCAACTTATTGTTATTATTAGTTGAATTTTATTATTATCGATTTTGCTGTCTAAGTTAACAGGCACTTTAACGTTAAGAGTATATATTTTTGCTTGGCAAATATAAACCTCAACTTTTTTCACATTTCATCGCACTGTCAAATATAACTTTATATTGCAATTAATTATTGTCAGTTACAGTTGGATTTAAATAGAATCTAATAAGTTCTTCATTAAATATGTATCATGCAGATGGTATGAATATGCATAAAATTACATAATATAGACATACTATCTGCATAAATGCATTCTAAATAATTATAGAATTCAACTAAACAAGTATTTTTATGCCACAGTGCCTAACACGTGTAAATAATATATCAGACCTTTTGCGCTTTACATTTTTGTGCTCGCTAAGTAATTATTCAAAATGCAGTGAAAATATTTTTGGTGTTCAGTAATTGTTCAAATTATAATAATTATCCTGTATGATATGCCATATCATATACAAATTATTCATGCATAGACAATATTTATTTTTGATGGTAATATTATGCCATCAAAATGCACTAAGCATGATATATAATAATTGTGGGCCATTAACTTGTGTGTTTACTTTAGTATCAATAAAAGTTTTATGGCCTACCAAATTATGACTAACTATAAAACATTCGGATAAATATTTGTTAGCTAACAATTAAAATATGTGCAGCATGATCCGGCAAATATTTTGTGACAAATTAATATTGTTTAATTAGCTTTTGATGCAAAATATTAGCTGAAGAATTTGCATTCTCTCAACATTCCAGCTGTGTTAGTCTAGCCTGTTTAACTTTAACATTTGCTTTAACATGCTGAATGTACTTTTTTTTAACTTTTTAAAGCGTTTTAGTTAACAGCGGGCAGGTGTCAGTAGCACAAGTCAATAATTAATATCGATAGTGCAATAGATTGAGAATTCAAAAAAAAAGCAAGAAAGCGGCACGCTGAAGTTTAAATACCCTTACAGAACTATGGTTTATAGTTTGCCGAGATAATTAAGGAAAATTGTGAATATCTTGTAGATTTAGAATACAAGCCCGATGTTGACAAGATATGGCTCATATATGGGGAGAACAATTAAATTAATAAATGCCATATTCGACTGTCATATCTTTATAGGCAAAAAAAGTTTGCAATCTATATGATATAGTGCTCCGATCCGACCTGTTCCAAATATTAAACATCACAAAATTATAATACCCACAAAAAGGGTATAGAAACTGTTGAAGATCTAGGACTAAGCTCAACCCGTCGGCTGCTCTGGCAGTAGCCCTAGCTATATTATCAACTTTGTTGTTATGGTATTGCTGTCTATGTTAATTATAACAGTATGATAAGTAGATAACGATAAGAAGAAAGAGGCTGCCTCTAATAAGTAAAAGAAATGAATATTACATTCTACCACAGTAATTTAGTGTTCCAATCCGGTCTAGGTCTGTTTCTGTGCGTTACACAATGCACGACAAAGTTGTAATGCCAGCAAAAAGGGCATAATTAGGCAACTGCAATTAACAGGCACACAGACACGCAAGAGAAAACCACAACATGAACAACTGTTAATTATCTAGCAATGAGTCAGGGCTGTGGCTAATTAATCAGCGAATGTTGCTCTGGCACTGGCTGTGGCTGTAGCTGAAGGCGTGCTTGGCAACTGGCAGCACACCAAAGTCCAAGCCAGGCACATGTTGAACCCACATGGTAAATTTATGTACATGGATAACTCTGCATGGTTGAGTTGGACTTACCGCAATGAGCCAGATCGATGATGGGCACCGCAGATCGCGAGAGCAGCGTGTCCAGCTTGTCGTCGCTTGATTTTGTTTTCAGCATTTTGACTGTGTGTGTGCTGGTGTGTGTGTGTGTATCTGTGTGTTGTTTCTGGCGCAACTATTTCTGCAGTTCTTTGGTTTGGCAGCACTTGGCGCAGTTGCGGAACGCTTTATCACTGTTCAATATTTATTTGTTTAATGTCTGTTGTCTGTTTCTGTATCTCTTTGGTTATTCAGCTTGACGACTAAGCAACTAAATTGTTATTATTCTTTTAGTTATTGTTGTTGTTGTTGTTGTTGTTGTTGGCTTTCGGTTCGCTTCGAGTGGCTGGTGGCTTGGCACCTAAGCGCAGCCAAGCGTTGTCAAATATATGGGCACATATATAAATAAAAGCCAATATCAAAACAAAAACAAATCCCACAGCAAACGGCTATCAAATCCAATTGAACAGCGTGGCGGGGGAGGGGGCGTTGACGCTTTAGACGCCTCGTAAAAAAATCGCGCGTGGTAATTGAACGTAACCAAACGGAAATCTACGTTGCGATCGCGGCGCGTTTCTCTGTTTAACTGATCAGGTATGAAATCGAGTTGGCGTTTTCTTGAACATTCCTCAAGTTGCCTCTGCCGCCGTCGCTGTCGCCGTCGCTGCCGCCGTCGCTGCTTATCGCACCTTTGGCGTTGCGGCTGAGAGTGGCGCATGTTATGGGAAACTTAAGAGGCTAGGCATGAATTCGCACTTGTGTGCGTCACACGCAAACACACGCAAATCGCAGTGAGCGGGTGTGTGTGTGTGTGTGTGTCCGCACTCTCGGTTGTGCGCCGCAATTAGATAAAAATGTAATCAAATCAAATTTTGTGATAAGTAAATTAGCACTTGTCGTTTGTGCAATGCGAACGGAAGAACGCTGGCAGGAAGGGAGGGCGGGGAGGGTGGAAGCGAGGCACTCTGGGACGGCAGGAAGAGACGGCAGACAGTCTGGCGGGTGAGGAGCACATATGCTAAACACACGATATTTGCACTACAAAGTATCTCAAAAGCTGCTGCCGTGAGGTCTCATCAACAGGTAGCAGCCAGTTCGCTCGCGAGTCGCGATATTCAGGTAACGCGCACAAACACACTTAAATGCTGCTCTACACACACACACACACACACACACACACACGGTCACTTGCATGTACACAGGCACAAGTGTGTGTGAGTTTTTAGCTTCGCTTTGTGTTTTTATTCGCAAGCCAATACAGATACGTTTGTCGTGTTGTATACGTGCGTGTGTGTGTGTGTGTGTTTGTATGCTTGTATGGGTCACACTCGCTGGCGCAAATGTATCTGACAGATCTCGTTTAACGGCACTCGCACACTTGGACTCAGGTGTGCCCTGCTGCTGCCGCAGCTTCACCCCTTGGCGACCAGCTGAGCTCTAAAGCCGCAGCGTCGTGCCTTAGCTCTGCCTCTCTGTCTTTGCTTTTGTTTTTCTTTTTGTTTTGATAGCGTCCATATATGTATGTATATTTCTTTATGTACATATATACATATGTATCTCTAGTTGCCGCGGCTGTTGCCAAGCGGCATCACAGGAAACGCCAGATGAACAAGAAGCGGCTATGCAAAGTCTGCAACGTTTGCATCTTCAGGGATGGCAACAGCAGAGGAAAAACCCTAACTGAACGTGTGCGACTGTGTGTGTGTGTGTGTATGTGTGTGCGTTGATCTAGCTGATTGCGCCTGTGTGTGTGTGTGTGTGCGCGCACATGAGTAAGCGTTTCTCCAACATATATTTGCATTTTAAAATCAAATCTATTTTTAGACAACTTTTTTCTGTATTCACATTCGGAGTTGGTCGAGTTTTCGAGCTATCGGCGAAAAATCGCTTTCTTTTTTCGCACAGATTTCCCTTAACAGGTTTCAACGTCACCAAAAAAAAGTTGCCAAGCAATTCTTTAGCTTTTTGTTTTTGTTTTTATTTTTATTTTTTTATTTTACTTTTCGCACACTTTCCAACATTTTGTAACACACACGCGAACGCGAATTTAACCTAAATACAATATAAAAATGCGCACGCCAACAGTTGAGCCAACCGTATATATGTACCTATATACCTGGCAACGGCAACCAGACCAACAACAACAACAACAACTGCAATAGTGTAATTATAGCAACAACAACAACAACAAGGCGACACTTACAACAAACAATACGCAAACGACAACGCGCCAACGAGCGGAAGGGACGCGTCTGCACTTCACCACATTTTCGCCAACACTGCGAGGCGAGTTTTAGTTTCAAATTCAATTTGCCTGCAACTTCAACATACACACACATCGTCACATACAAGCAAACATACATACGCATATGTATCGAATAGTGACATATATACATATGTCACTTTTATAGCATACTTTTAGACAGCTCATTAATTTGTTGAGCTACGAATTGGGTCAAAAGACAGAATGTTATGCATCAGGCAGTATGACAAATGTGCTTATACAGATATGTACATATATATCATATATTAATCATTCAAAGGAGTACACAATTTGGTAAATATTCCCTGAATCACGTTACTTCTCTGGAAATCGTTTATCTCAAGTTCGGGCTAACAGTTCTTTAACGAATTTCCGCAGTATTCTGATAAAGATCTGTCAATATCAAAAATTAATAAAAAAAAATACGATAATTAATAATAAAATCTTCAAGATCTATGAATAAAATGATATTTTTATATACACATATTTAACAATATATTATATATCATATATAACAAAATTCCAAATTAAGGAACAATTCGTGCATTTGCCAAGCCCATTTTCTGCAGCTCCTTTGTGTTATTTTTGCTGGATATAAATCCCAAATTAGTCAGCTTCTTTGCTGCACTTTAATAAAAAATGAATACGTATTCAAATTACAAGTTCCACGAAATTAACTGGGAAATCAATTCTCCGAGTCTGACTCAGCGGCACATGCGCGCCATCTAGCGGAAATAATTAGTACCTTTCGAGTTAAGTTTCTGCAATTTGTAAAGCATACTTCTAGGCAAACAAATATACAATTCATTTCGTATTATTTATTTGTGATTTTCAAAATATATTTTACAATTTACATATTATTGTTTATTTTTTTAACGAGTTTTGGAATTTAGAAAAGAAAATGGCAAATAAAATTGCTGCTAATGACAATTTGGTGTATTGCCATCTGCTTTATGTCTTAGAATTTTATTGCACGCCAATCAATAAAATAAAAACTACACACGTATCGAACAACTAAACTAAAATATTTGGTTCTATTTATACTTTGCCATCGCGTCAAGTGCAATGTTTGGGGGCACTGCGCAACGGCGACTTTTTTCCTTTGCGGCCACATTCTCATACCTGACTTCAAATACTACGCAACGAACCTAGAAACCTAGCTAGAAAATGTAATATCCAATGTACATACACCCAGCTTCATCTATGTATATACCTAAATGGGTTAAGAAAGTGTATCTTCACAGTAGACGTGTACAGGCTATAAACCTAACTAAAAAAAACGCCGCATTCGCATTTGGCTATCGATCTTAAGGCAATATATGAAACGTCGGCTCCTACTCCTGCTTAACCGCCAACTTGGCCTGTGCCGCCAGCTTGGCTTGCGCCGCCTGCTTGGCCTCCCGCTTGTAGTTGTGCACATAGAAGGAGCTGAACATGTAGGTGAAGAGGCCGGCATTGAAGGTCAGCAGCGCCGCAATCGATTTGGGGAAATTGCAGTTGGGCTGGAACTGAATCTGCAGCGTGTGCACAAAGATGATAAGGAATTGCACCTGTTCGGAAGATAAAATATAGTTGAGCAGGTGCATCAATAGCAAGCCCGTTCTGACTTACAATCTGGAGAATGGTGATGTACTTCTTCCACCAGAGATACTTCTGCACCTTGGGTCCCATAGCCGAGAGCAGATAGTAAGCGTACATAATGATGTGGATGAAGGAGTTGATGAAGCCCAACAATGTGCCATGGCCGCCGGCGAAGTACTTGACGCCAATGAAGGCGCAAACGGGCATCAGTGTGTGATGGTACAGATGCAGGAACGAGATCTGGCGATCCTTTTTGCGCAGCACAAAGAACACCGTGTCCAGCAGCTCCGTTATCTTGGCAATGTAGTACAGCCAGACAGCGCGCGCCATCTGAATAGAAACCGCAGCATTATAAATGCTAGTTAGAGTATATTATGGTGCGGCTTACTCTCATGGAGATGGGATCTGTGGCATAGGTCACGGGCTGGCATTTGAAGTTGTAATGACCGCCCCAGCCGCCCTTGTAGCCCTCATAGAAGAGCACCCAGCTGAGCAGCACCTGCACCGCATTGTAGATCAGGAGCGTGTTCTTCAACTCGAACGGCTTCCGGTCGCGCATGTAGCGCGGTCCGGCATACAGGCAGAAGTACAGATAGGCGCCGAGTATCATGAACAGCGGTCCGGGTGCATTCGAGAGGAACCAACTCTGTGGAACGAAAGCGAATGCATGAGTCTAAGCACCTGTGCCAATCGATTTATTGAACTTACCTTTGTGCGCAAATCCTCGTGCTCCACAAAAAAGTTGACCATCTTGTCAACAATGTTCTGTGTTTCGTTCAGTTTGACCGACATTTTGCCAACTGCAAGTAATTTAAACAAATATATGATTAGCAGCAAATCTTTGGTATTAGCAAATGCTGTATTTTTAGCACCTGGGCCACCTTTGATGCAGTGCGTCAACAGCTATTTGATCTACTGTTGGTCGACGAGCATGTTAATCACAAAGGCACACAAAATTGCAAAAGCCAAGGCGAAGCCGCGCCCACGCGCGACCCATGCGACATTATTAATGGGATATTTGTTGTAAATAAGCTCTAATGCAAATACGGCCCAGCTCGCTAAACTATCTTAATATATAGAAATATCAGGGCTGCATCGAAACCTCAAACCAAAGCAATTGCCCAGATGAACCAAAACTCAAGCTGAAGCACAACTTTTTAGTTTTTCAACAAAAAGCTTTTAAGCAATAATACACACAATTTTACCAGATATAGCTAGCTGCCACTTTTAAAAGCGCTGGCCCCTCTCTAACCCTTTTAAGTATATATATTCTCGATCAGGGCGACGATCTAGCCATGTCCGTTTATCTATCTATATGTTCCTTGACACTACAATTAGCTAAATATCAATTTGTAAATCTCCTCTCATTTTCATGATATCGATTAAAATAGATATTGGGACATCATATATGAAGCATAATTAAAAAGAATTTAAAGGATATATTTAAGCTCCCGTATAAATTTATATATTATTATAATAGTATTTAGTTTTTTAGGCAAAGCTTTCGTATTGGCATTTGGCTCTCACAATTATGTCCTGATAAAATATAGAACGACTACAAGGATGCAGGGTATCTCCTAGTCAGGCTCTTCTGAGCAGAGCACGCCCTTTGGCTTATTCATGGCCGCATTTGCCGAACCTCAAGGCAGACCGACTCAAAAGAGTAGGTTCTTATTATAAGCCGAAGCTACAAATAATTTGTTCTTATTATATTTTTAAATTTATTTTTGCAGCCCTGATACTGCAGTTGGGTGCAAGTTATCTAACTAATATGTATATGAACATGTAAATTAGTCGAAGCGTCGCAGGCGCGTCGTCCGTGGCAATAACCCTGCTGAATTTGTGCTTAATCAGTTCCTTTTTTTAAAAGCAGCTCATAACTTTGCCTTGGCTCAGCACAAAAAACAATTTCTGTTTTCATGTACATTTTTGTTAAAATTGTTTTACAGCTTTTTTTTTGTTGTTGTTTTGTTTTAGCCACTAGGCTTGAATTACTGGCAGCCAGGGATGCGAGATACAAAAAATAAATGGATTGTGTATTTGTTGTAAATTACAGGCAGCAAGATTGGACACGGAACTGGTTTGATTTCTGTAGCCAAATTATGGTCGACGTTGATTTTTATTGTCATCTAGTTTTTGTATAAGCGGGAATAACCCAGCCGGCAGTCAGCAGCAGCAGCAGCAGCTGAAGCAGGAGCAGGATAGTTCAAGGACAGACAAGTCGAGGGCATTGCGGCCAAGAAGGAACCTGTTTGCCTGCCACAGCTGGCTGTGGCTGTTCGATCACAATAATTGGCCAGCTAGATAAATGATATGATGCGAATCAAGTCCTTTGTGCAGATGACTAAGCAACTTTCGATTGCCTGCAATACATGATTAACTCCCTTGCAGCTTGGCCTTGAATTGGCTTTGGCTTTGAAGGCGCGCTTCGTGTGCCAGTTGAATGCATTCCATGGCGCAATTCCACTTCAACAAACTGGCATAAATTTAAGTGCAAACATCAGTTGCGACAAGTCTCGCTGAGAAATTTAGATTTTGTTGCCGTTCTAATTATGACGCTTGCCACTCGCCGGCGGGCGTTGCATGCAAATTTTGCGCGTCATTCACGAATTGTATCAGACCGTAACCAAAAACCGAAACGAGCCCAAATGCCGCCCATTTTTTGGCCAGTCATCGTTTTATTTTTGTATATTTTTATTTTTTTGGTAGCAAGCCGCGAGAACTTTGTTTTTATTTGCCTTGGTTAACATGCACTTAACCCAATCCGACACGTGCATCTTGCCCGAGCAGAATTAACAGCCTATCTGCGATGCATTTCGTCTGTTCAAAATCACATAATATTAGGCAAGCGTTAATAAACATATCCAGATTTGGCTTGAATGTTACGCAACCTATTAATATTTACATATATACTATATATATAGTAGCTAGTATATATGCCTGCCTCTAGCTAGGCGCATGTTCATGTTAATCAGGAAGTTGTCTTCATGTTTAATTTAATCTGAAAACCAGAATCAAACTTGTCTCGAATTTCATCAACTTTCGATTTAGTGTTTTTTGTTTTTTTTTTTTTAAGAACAAGTATTCTTTTTAAGATGCCCAAGTGACCTATTCATTTCAAAACTTCAGGGGCTTCAGGGTTTGCCTAGGCACAGCATAAAAGGGTTTTAAAGTATTTAAATTATTCTCATTTGAAATTGTACTCGAAGCTACATACTGGGAGATATCGAACATATGTGAACGGACAGACATGGCAGCTCGACTCGACTCGATTCAGCTCGTCGTGTTGATCAAGAATACATAAACCCTCTGGGGCCGTAGATGTTATCTTCCGGCTGTTAGATACACAAGGAAAACTCCGAGTTAAGTGTGGAAACAAATAACTGTTGTAAATCTTTACGAACACCGTTTCCTATGACAGTTGTATGATATTAAG